GTTTGCAAACAATTCTTTAGAAATAGTGTTCGTTCAATCTCAAGCCAAATAAATCCCACTCCACTTTCAAACTTAAACAAAAAGAAACAATTGTGAATTACGTACTTCTAAAAGTTGTAAATAGTGGATACATGTTATGAGGAAAGGACGATGTCTGAAATCACCATACTAGTACTGCCAGATGGGATTTGCTTATGGATGTTTTGTTTATTGCTGGTTTTGACCATTGACTCATGTCTCCTTCTGTTGCCACATAGATTCAACGGTCGTGTGGGTCAATCAGAAACATGATCGACTAAATCTTCCCAAAGACCATTTGGTCCATAACGGTGAGTCGGGCAGCTGTTGTCGACATGCATATAATGAGTGGACAACAAGGCTTCTTCTCGAAACCATGTATCGACTGTCAGAACGCCATCAAGCCCTTGCTACCAGTATTTAAATACAGAATGTGGGAACTTGTTGATATACAAAGAGTCGACGTTGGGGGTACGATGATTTGTAAGTGATGCTTTGTTTTGTGATTCAATTGAAGCATCTTCATCAGATATTTACTATGGCTTAAACTGAAAAGGATATTTGAAGCCGTCAGTTTCCCTGACGGTCCAATTGCTGGAATATTGCTAAAAGCGGCGTAAAACCATACTCACTCACTCACTCCCTGACGGTCCACGTGGGTTCTACTTATACTTATGACTGTAAGTAAGGTACACACAGCGATATAGGACATAGGTGTGCTGTGTCTGTGAATGTGTTTTGTCCCCTGAAAGCATATGATATGAACGACTTCCCTCATATATTCACATGTATATAAAGTTTGATGCATATGTTCCATATGTCACATACATACGTGCAGAATTTTCTCTCGAATAAATAATGTTAAGGTCCGATGAAAGATTTTGAAAACTATTGTTGAACCCATTCTATAATTACTGCGCAGGTCACCTTTTAAATGATATACAATATATATTCCAGCAAATATGATAATTCAAATTCAATATTACACTACTGAGAAATATTTCTTCTTGCCTAATCAAAACGGCCGAGTATATGCCATCTTTAAGATATAGTTGTGTACAGAAATAAAAAGAATCACTACACCGTATTTTATTAAGAAATGAATTATCATGAATTTGTCGGTATGCGTTGGTCAAAACAGTTTTTAATAAACAAAAACATCCCATTCGCCATGTTACAGCAAATACATTCGTGACAGCAAATGCATGTTTTGATTGTACTTTGTATATTTAGTCATTTTTTAAACATTATTCATGCATATTTCGAGCTTTGTGTTCTTTTTATAATGTTAAGTCTCTATCATATAACTGGTAGATTTCTCGGCAGGGTGAAGCCAACGGATAAAACTTGTATCTGTTGAGGTCATTAGCGATGAATTATTATGTAAAAAAAGGTCAGGTTGTTAAATACTAAGGCTCGGTAAATAAAATGTGTTTCTTTTGCAGGATATGTCCCATCCAAAAATACACGAGCGTGATAAACTCTACAGTAAACTACGTTTATAACGAACACGCTTATAACGAACTAACGGATATAACGAACTTATTTTTAATCCCAACCATTTGTTGTATATATGCTGTATGTATGCTTATAACGAACTACGGTTATTACGAACTAAAATTATTGGTCCCCTCGAGTTCGTTATAACCGTAGTTTACTGTATATTGTGGGTAAAATAATATTTTTCTTGGGACCCAAGCAGTACCTATTTCACCTCGCCCTCTCTTAATCCAAACTGTGGGCCATGTGTACTTGCTGGAAGGGTTATAGCTGTTATCGCAGAGGAAGGTCACACGCAAGCTACCTACACCGCAACTCAGCCATTTGAACTCCCGACAAAGACACACACACATGGCTTGCTAAGCCCTCAATAAAGAGGGTATACGCTCATGGCGCACATTTTACACACAATGTTTGCGAAGTTAATAGCCTACTGCCGACATGCACGTGGTTAGATTTTAGATAGACAATGTGTTCTGTTGCTATGAAGGCTGTAGCAATAGAATGACGTATATATTTCAAGTCAAACAGATTAAACATGTTTAAAGGTGCGTTTAGCAATAGCCTCTGACTGTGAAATACGTCATCTAAACTATCTGTACATATTTAAACATATTCAGGAAAGTATGTTACTGAACTGAGTTTCGTAGGATAAAACAGTTGGTTGGATGGTTTGTTGTTTAACGCCGCACTCAGCAATATTCCAGCTATATGACGGCGGTCTGTAAATAATCGAGTCTGGACCAGACAATCCAGTGATTAATATCATGAGCATCGATCCACGCAATTGGGATCGATGAGATGCATCAACCAAGTCAGCGAGCCTGACCCTCCGATCCCGTTAGTCGCCTTTTACGACAAGCATAGTCAGGCATAAAGTACAACAAACGATGTTTTCTTAAGTTTCAAAAAATCGCTCATTGGTAGAAGCCATCGTACAATGATGCAGTTATGTTTTTAGTCATGCGACCATATTCAGTGTCCTCTTCTGACCTGTGGATAGCAATTCAAAAGTACGACAACATCTGTACCAAGCTGTTTGATAAGATGATTTCTTTCCCTTTTCGCGAACACCTGGCGTCACCACTGATTTTCAGTGATCCATTTATATATTTTTCACCACTATTTTGTCTGTTTCGCCCTATGGAAATGGTTTCGTCCGATATTTGAGACTGGGTTCGATTCCCCACATGGGTACAATGTGTGAAGCCTATTTCTGGTGTGCCCCATCGTGATATTGCTGGAATATTGCTAAAAGAGTCCTAAAACCATACTCACTCACTCACTATAACCTTGATCAAACAACGTTTGAGCAACAGTCGTATGACGCTCTTAGAAATCTACATAGAAAGAGTATGCTCGATTGTAACTAAAAAGTGTGAAATGTAGACACCAAACACTGGAGCTGGTGGAATATTGCTCAACATAAAGGGAAAAGGACTACAAAAATTAAAAATTATAATTATTGTATTAAAAAGTTGTAGTCGCCCCTTTTTGTCATGAACTCATATGGGAGTTTTTTGTCATTCTGAATCTTTATGCCGTGTATGCATAGATCTTAGTATGAAACAGATGAGGCGGTCGAACTGATCTCTTTTATTTTTAGTTCAGATGGGTAAATCAGTTGAAGGTATTTGGCTATTTTACATTACTTGAACAGTAACAGATCATCTTTATACGCGAAGCTTAAGCTAAACCTCCACGCCAAATTCCGCTGTTTCGACTTTGCCAATCCAGCAGAATTCCGATTCATATGCATAAAGAAACATCTCAGTAAGAAGAGGAGCACAGTTGCTGCACATGGGCACAAAGTTGAGAAATCAAATGTTGTGACAGAATTAATTAATAAATTAATTCTGAGATTTCAAAACGTTCAGCAAATCCTTTGAGATTTTGAGAATCTACAGAATATCAGTTCCACTCTATCAATTCCAAATACTTTCTGTGAATAAATATGAAAGAAAGAAATAACTGTTTCTAAGTGAGTCATTGAGTTCATTCCGGAGAACAAATATTAAATTTGTTGGGGCGAAACATTAACATCGTGCCACGCGGTCATCTGTTCCAGAACACCGACGGCAACCTCCTTCCCTTGCACCACAATGTGTTCAGGCTATTGCTCTCCTAATAAGCAGGTCAGAGGTCGAAGGTTAAACTTTATTTTAAATAGTTTACATTAAGGCAGTCACGTCCGTCTGTCCAAGCATTTCCCCATCATAACGCTAACGTTGTATAACTTCGGACCTATTATGACGCACGACGGCGCTCTTGAAGACAGACGCAAGCGGTGTCAGATGGGAAATATACCACACGTTATTTATCATCAGTAGATATGCAACATGCACGTGTTTTCCATTCATCCCATGTTACGCTCCTCGCCAACTACTGTCACGAATTCAGGATAGTATGTATTACAATCTGGATGCCGAATGAAATGCACCCACATGAATGCACAAACTATGTCAACGCCATATCTAACTTCTAGACACATGTCTAACAACACGCAACCACAAACACCCATCACCCGTGAAGATCCGGGGTAGAATATAGGTCTTCAGCAACCCATGCTTGCCGTAAAAGGCGAGTACGCTTGTCGTGAGAGGCGGCTAACGGGATCAGGTGGTTAGGCTCGGTGATTTGGTTGATGCATGTCATCGTATCCCATCCGTATCGATGCTTATTATGTCAATCACTGTATTGTCTGGTCCAGACTCGATTATTTACAGACCGCCGTCATATAGCTGGAGTATTGCTGAGTGCGGCGTTAAACATCAAACAAACAAACACAAACGCACACACGCGTTCACAATGATGTATCCGCGCTTGCACAAACGCAGATACATAGCTCAACTTACAGAGCTTAATACAACCTGTCTCAACCCAACACATATACACACGCACACACATCCGCACACGCACACCAACACACACACACACATACCACCATCATCACATACAACACACATCTTAACCAAAACATACCTTCAACAACACAGTCTCAACGATACACGCAAACACACACTCACACCCTCTACCAAACATAAATACGTCCTATCATCTTCATTTCTACCCTCACACATTTAAACATGGCACACGCGCACGCGCACGCACACATACAAACGCCCCATCCAGATATAACCTGCAGCCCCAAGGCACCGTTGCAAAATACATGCTCTTTCACACACGTGCACGCTTATCTTAACCCGTACCTGATCAAGGTACCTACACCACCCACCACCCTCCACCCTCCCACACAGAAAACACCCGTACACGAACATACAGCAACGTCTACACCACGGTAAGAGCATTCATTCCCTCTAATCCCTATCGATTGTTAGTCGTGAAACATGTACAATGAAGAAACATATAACCTCGAAGATAAAACTTGTTCTATGAACAGCAATTCAAAAGTAGTTCGGGAAATGAAATAAATATGTAAGTAAAATCACTCTGCCCAGTGCCAAATATACGGTGAGCTGTGGGTGTCATCCCACGCGCGCTGAAACAGCCTGGCGAACTTGTCACAAGAAATAATTAACTGGGGACACATTTAAGTGGAGCTGTGATGTGACAGTGGACGGAGGCGGGATGTCAGCAGTGTAACCCCCGGCAATTGTCGTGTACAAATCAGCCCTCGGCCTCAGACAGCGCACAACGGAATGATACATGTCTCGAAACAGCCTCACACAACCCATCCATAATTCATGGCTAGCTTCAGCGTACTATGACTTACACACTATACCTAGCTGTAGCCGGACGGCCCGTGAGGCTGTTTTCCCAGGAATGAGGATCCGCAGCTTGGTATACTAATGAAGTACCGTTATCAGTAACGGGACGAAACCGAGTGGAGGACGGTGTTATAACGAGGGACCACCCCGGATCAGGATAGTTTGCACTCGTATGCTGTGGATACTAGTCGGATATGAAGGTGGGATGTTATGTGTGACTATAGGCTATATGACAGCGGTAGTGTGAGTATATTTTATGTCATGGTTCGTTCTGTCGCGTTGTCTAAATCGTTTAAATGCTATGTGGGTCATGTAGATAGCAGTATTTGTGACATATGTGTAGAATACAGGCATAATTGACGTCGTGGCCTGTCCCTTTTGAATATACAATTAACACTGTGAATCTCCAGTTTACACCCGCCCCGATATAATGGGATAGCACGGTAGAAAATCAATTGCGTACATACAATATTGTATTGAGAAGTGTTGACGGTGGAAGCGTGACAGATCTGTCTCACGCATCACGTACTCTGTCGTGTGTTTGTTGAAGAAACGGCCACTGAGTCAGTTGTAACTTTCCGCCACATCCATGTTATTTCCTCACAAGAACAAGAAAAGGATGCACAACGGTAATGACATTAGACAATGCTCTGGGGTAGCGCTTCACACTGCCATCACCAGTCTAAAGTCCAAACACAGTGTATACATAACCCAGGCCCCTATTCCCACGTGGGTGGAGAATTTTATACATGAAATAATTATTAGATTATATTGCCTATGTAAGTAGCCACGGATATGAATTGCTGTACAAACGATTGTTTCTAAATGTCTGCACGTTAGCTGGTAAAGTCGTCCTTGTCCTCATTTGATAGCCATCATTAAATTCTTAAAATTGATTGTCAGTTTAAGGATGTTGTTTTGAATCAAATATATTCGTGACCTCAGGAGAATATATTAATTAGCGTGTTAATAAACGTTATGAAAGATGCATTTACTGGACAGAACAACCCACCCACAATATGTTACCCATACAACTACACAGCGTTAGAAATTGGCACTAGTCCTGTAGTCCTTGCCAAACTGGCCAGTAGTTAAGGTATCATAAGGACAAGTAGAAATTTGCCATTTTTAAGGTTTTTGCTATATGTTATCATTATAAGGACTAGTGGACTAAATATGTTAGTTTCTACCCTTGCTACAACATTTGGCCGTCCATTCATGAAAAATTAACACGACGATTAAACATATGTTCTTTCGTGAACTTTGTGTTATCATCTGGCATGTTGTATGTAGAAAGCACCAATAGACCGATCCAGTCCCGACCGATAAGCCCCGCCCACAAGCTGCCGTCCTCGTTTTAGGCGTTAGGGGGGACAAACACTGGCTATTCGCTGTGGCGTCACAGCCGACGAAACTTGAATGCGCGGGCGATGAATTTGGCTCAGAATGCTTTGTTACCAGTCGTGTGTAAAAAATATCTGAAGAGAGTTATACATGATCTGTTTTTGGTTCTACTTTAGTTGTCATATTGCATATCGGAGTGAGAATGAGTCATATGTCCGATGTAATGGTGTATCAGTCAATGAGGAAGTCACCATGGCTGAAAGTTAGAAGCGTGCACTACTTCGAAGCACTCATATCAGGCAGAGAATACTATATTGTGAATTTACAGCATGTAAATAATATATTATTCACCCAAGGGTGGATTAACTAATTTTTGTTTTTACTTTCCATCGTAATTTAAGTGTATGGAAAGTACTGGAAACCGTAAACACAGAACAAGTTACAAATCATGTGGATATCTATAAATAGATTACAGACCCTGAAAGAAATATATCCAATGCAGCCCATGCAAGTTTATAATGTTTGTCAAATCGAGATTACTGCAGTATCTGAAAATGAAGAAAGTCTCCGGTCTCCTATTTATCATATTCTATAACTATAATTAAACTGTTTTTTTAAAAATAAAATATGTTCATTTCAGCGACTAGATGTTAGTCTATACCAGCACCTAAGATGTATGATCCATTCTCCCGTGAAGATTCCGGGGTGGAATAGGTCTTCAGCAACCCATGCTTGCCGTAAAAGGCGACTATGCTTGTCGTAAAAGGCGACTATCGGGATCGGGTGGTCAGGCTCGCTGACTTGGTTGATGCATGTCATCGATCCCAATTGCGTGGATCGATGCTCATAATATTACTCACTGGATTGTATGGTCCAGACTCGATTATTTACAGACCGCCGTCATATAGCTGGAATATTGCTGAGTGCGGCGTTAAACAACATTCCAACCAACCAAAAAACATTCACCCAGTGTCTGGTGTAGTAGCATCATGCACAAAAGAAAAGATGCGTATATTGCCTATCACACTGTATAACAACCGACATCAGTCGCATCTCAAACTGGCCCCTCGAACTGCAGCTGCCGCCACGGCTCCTCCCACAGGCGATGTTAGCGACTGAGCATGTTGTGATGTGTGTTCGTGATATTTAGTGGCAATTATAGTATCCGAAGACTTGTGTATGTGATTATTCACCTCTTCCTGTAGAATAATAAGTATAAAGTGTTTGCATTGCGTTGTAGAAACGCCCGTCAACTTTGTGCATACATCATTCGTTGAAAGTTCGTTTACCCGATGAAAAGAGGCATTCGTCACAACTCGCCCCTTTCCGTAACCTGGAATTGTCCCGGAATAACACGAGTTGGTCACGAATGGAAAAGGGGCGGGCGGGTAGCCTAGAGGTTAAAGCGTTCGCTCGTTACGTCGAAGACCCGGGTTCGATTCCCGACATGGGTACAATGTGTGAAGCCCATATTGGTGTCCCCCGCCGTGATAGTGCTGGAATATTTCTAAAAGCGGCGTAAAACCACACTCACTCACTCACTCACCACATAAAAAGGAATAGTAATGACAGTTTTGGAGATTTGCCTTGGGACCGGTTGCACTAAGCGATCGTGGGTGCACATAGACTTACGGTGGGCTGCTTTGTGGAGTTGTGCCTGGTAAGAATGAAATAACCTAATCCTGAAACTATAACTTTACTGATAACCTTCATAGACCTCCAACAACTAAAACAATAACGCTTATCTTTAGTTGTATTTTACCACGCTTACTGTTGGTGTTCCAGTTAACTGTAAGGCTGGAAAAGACTTGTGCAGTATTCTAAGCTGTAAAACGTAGCTAGTAATACGTCTTGTTCTTCTTAATCTCAGTTAAAAATATAAATATCAAAACTAAAATGGGTTATTTGTGGGTGGTTACTGACTCAAAAATCTCAAAATTTTCTACTTGTGTCAGTCATTAGATGTTATTACAACAGGGCTGGGTACGGCATATTTCATTCGCATTTGATAATTCGCTTTCAGTGGAAACAGAGCGATTTGGTCGAGAAGCACTTCGGTGAACAGTTGGGGCCATTGTGACGTCACAGTGCTCCTTTGGTGTTTAGCAGCTCTGGCGTCTGAAACGCCTCTTTTACTGAGATAAATCCAAAACAGATAATAGAGATCTTACAAAGTAATACAATCAGATATCCATTCGTCACAATCAGTTCCCAAGATGTATCGAGGGGACGGTTTGATCTCATCTTCATGTCTTCATCTGAACAACATAATGACACAAAAACCGGTTCTCTTTGACTCAGAAAAGATACAGATATTTTTTTAATGAATCCGTTCATTATACAGTTGGTAGAATCAGCGTATGTTGAAGATCCCCCTTATTTTTCTAGGAATTGGACGCACGAGAATTGTTTCACACAAGTGTCATGTCCGGATATCACGACGTCATATGTAGCGAGGAGGGTTAAACGTCGTCAGATATATCCATGTGTTGATTAGTTATATATATCGACGTCAGATATATCCATGTGTCGATTAGTTCTATCTATCGACGTCAGATATATCCATGTGTCGATTAGTTCTATCTATCGACGTCAGATATATCCATGTGTCGATTAGTTCTATATATCGGCGTCAGATTTGTATCCATGTATCGATTATTTCTATATCGACGTCAGATATATCCATGTATCAATTACAGACAGACAGAATTTTTTTCAATATTTTAGGCCATATGACCTATAGTACAGAAGTGGTTTTTTTTTTGTGTATCAAAATTGTACAGTCACGTGTAGGTAATAATAAGTTTAAATATAATATTAACGTCTTATTTCAAAAGTCTTCTTCAGGAATATCGACAGAGATGATGTATCACTTAGTTCTATATCGATGTCAGATATATCCATGCATCGATTAGTTTTATATATCGACGTCAGATATATCCATGTATCGATTATTTCCATATCGACGTCAGCTATATCCATGTATTGATTAGTTCTATATCGACGTCAGATATATTCATGTATCAATTAGTTCTATATCGACGTCAGATATATCCATGTATTGATTAGTTATATATATATCGATGTCAGATATATTCATGTATCGATTAGTTCTATATATCGACGTCAGATGTTTAGCCATGTATCGATTAGTTCTATATCGACGTCAGATATATTCATGTGTCGATTAGTTCTCTATATCGACGTCAGATATATTCATGTCTCGATTAGTTCTATATCGACGTCAGATATGCATATGAAGGTATGAGGTAGATTATGACGACGTAAAATTACACATGTAGCGAATGTTTGAATATGATGATGTTAGATATATCCATGTAGCGAATATGTCGATATTACGACGTCAGATGTACTCAAGTAGCGAATACTTCTACATGTCGACATCAGATATGTAACGGACCCTCGGTGTTCCGGACAAACGGTGTTCCTGACTCTTGGGATTCCGGACAAACGGTGTTTCGGACTAACGGTGTTCCGGACTAACGGAGTTACGGACTAACGGTGTTCCGAAGAAACGGAGTTACAGACTAAGGAAGTTACGGACTAACGGTGTTTCTGACTCTTTGGGTTCCGGACAAACGGTGTTCCGGACTAACGGTGCTCCGGACTAACGGAGTTACGTACTAAGGAAGTTACGGACTAACGGTGTTTCGGACAAACGGTGTTCCGGACTAACGGTGTTATGAACTATCGATTTTCCGGTCTAACGGGGCTCCAGACTATCAGTGTTCCGAACTTTCGGGGTTGTGGACTAACGGGGGCCAGACTAAGGAGCCTTCGCCGTACACCATGATCGCGGAGTGATACCTGCGCTGTATACCTTACAAGTCACAGGCGCAGAAAATGGGTAACCTCACCTGTCCTGTACTAAATGTTAA